TCCCTTTTTTTTGTTGAGAGATTCTACCCTTTACGAATCTGACCGATATTCAATTTGACAAATATTTTTTTTCTTGTTAATCTGATAAATATTTATTCAGTGAGGAGGAGGAGGAGAAGAAGAAGAAGAAGAAGAGGGAGAAGAGAAAACAGAGGACCTTACCAGGATCACATCAACATTCTTTACCAAATTAAAAATAAATCAAGTAAGAAAAAATCTTTTTTTTTTTTTTTTTTTTGTCCCGGCCATGCAAGTGGTCCTGGGCACTCCGGTAGCCTAGGTTACTGTGTAATAATGATCAAAATATTATAATAATCATAAATTAATCACTTTAAAATTTACGAACTTTCGTGACAGGATCATTGTTATCTGACACAGTAAGAAAGTAGAATCTTACCGAAAGAATCATCACTCCGGAAATTTGTTCGTTGTTGGTCCGCTTTCGTGGGACTTTTTGTTCGTGCAAAAGGGGAGGGGTTGTGCCCGTGGCCGAATGGCAGAGATCTTGCCGGCCCTGAATTTATGACACTCCACACCGAACTAGCCCCGTAATAAAATTTTCGTTTTAGAGCCAAAAAAAAAGTCACTCCAAACGGCACTACCGTAAAGCAACGACCCCCGGAAAAAAAAAACATGACACGAGGACGATACTCGCACTGGCACTCTTCAACTGAATCCACCCATAATTGCAGCCAAATACGTCCTAGATTGTCCAAGGGTGCATTTGCCCCAACAAATCAGAAAATGAATAGGATGGAATGAAAGGACAGCGCACATGCGCATCACATACGATGCACGGGCACTGCATGCACTGCACGTCTAAAAACAAGCATCGGAAAAAAAAAAAAACGTTGCGAGGGGCAGTATGCTCGTGGAAAATAAGAAATGGGCAGCCAAAATTTTTTTGGAGGCCGCATGTTGGCCTGAAAGCTTTTAGCAAGTTCCTCTACTCCGTGCAACACTCTGTGTGTATGGTAGCGTTCTTGCAGGCCAGGTTCAGTCATGATGAGGGTTGCGATGTCTCAAACCGTTCATTTCGTATTACTTCTGAAGTAGAAAACGGCGGAACTGACAGCCCTTTTTTCCTGGAGTTTTTTGCTAATAATAAAAAGAAAAGAATCTAAAGGAAGAAAATGAGAATGACTCACCTGTTGCTAAAATCCGTCAGAAGAGGCACCAACTGTGAGAAAAAAGAACGAATCTTTGGCTAGAACATGGAAAGATATATCACCGTGGGGTTTCTCTTTCGATCATGTGGTGAGTGGTGGAGCGAAGCCCAGTGCGTCCAACCTGTCAGAACCTCAACGGGACTATTCACCAACGGGCCTATCAGCCTCACTTCACTACTCTCAACATGCACAAAAGACAAAACATGGCAATGGGGCTCGTTAGACACTCCTCGGGCGCATAAATCCCCCGAGGAAAATTTCGTTCCACCTATCGTCAGGGATGAAAATGAAAAAAAAAAAAGTGAAAACATTTCCTCGGGGAATCCTTGGGGCGTCCTCGGGCAACAGCCATTTGGTGACATTTCCCAAGAGGTCCCTTGGAGGTCAAGGATCCACAATAATCACAGCGGTCAGGGCACCTGTCGGCGGCAATAATTTTTTTTCGACTGGTCCATTAGAGTTCCTACCGGGCAGCACACAAACATCTTGGGTCTTCAACGTTCAGCTTCCACAAACCTCCAACAGTAACCGTTGGTGGCCGGCCGGCCCCCACGGACGTTGTCGACCAGTGTTCTCCCTCGCAGTGCGTGCTGCCAAACGGAAAAGAGTCGAACGGTCACCAGAATACTTAAGCCGACCCCCCTTGCTCCGATTGCCCACTATATTCCGTGACGAAAAACGTTACAAGGTGTTTGTCCCATGCTGTGGTCTGCCGTTTGCAGCCCTCTTCGTCACCGTTTGCTGGAGGTGTACCGCCGTCGTCTAACTACTGCCCTTCCCCACGTGCCTTTCATGTCTAACATCTTTCAAAGGCTGCCGCTGCTGCTCCTGGTCATCCTTTTGCTTGTCCTTGTCGTAATCTTCCACATCTGCATCCGCAGCAGGGTGAACGTACACGTAAGCCACGGCCCAGCTCACAGTGCAAGGGCGTATGACCCGTTACAGTGTGTGTGTTGTATGCTGTCCTCTACCATCTGCTCCCTTCATCGTCGCCGTTCAGTGGACCTTCACCATCGTCGTAGAATTACGGCCCTGTCGTACGTGTTGTTGATGGCCGACCTTTATTGAAGGTTGCCACTGCTGCTCCTAGTCGCAATTGTGCTCGTCGTAGTCCTCCTGTTCCACGTGTGCATCCTCTATCGTTAATGGCCGACCTCTATCGAAGGCCTCCAGCAGAGAAAACAAGGGATTGACAGCGACTGCAGTCGGCATTGACATCGGCAGCGCGTCCCGCGGGCATTCGTCCACAATGGATGCAATCGCAATCGCCCGAAAGACACGTGCCCACATACGCAGCTTCTCCCAAAAGTACTCCTTCGTCGCATCATCAAAATGCCTGAGATCCTCCACACTCTCCCCATCCTCCTTTTCATCCACCACCTCGGCGTCGCTCGTGGAAGAACACTGCCAACCCGTGGTGCAGCAAACCTGAGCTACAGCCTCAGTGATGGCCACGACATCCAGCCGTTTGACCGGGATGAAGCGTCTTCCTCCTCCGTGCGTGGATCTGCGCTCTCATTCTGCCCAATGCCCTCTCCTGCTGACAACAAAAGAGCACGGCTGTCACGGCCGCCGCCACGGCCGTCTTCTCGATCGTCAACTTCGCACGTCCGCCGTTGCTGCCGCCCTCCATTGGCACGTGTGTTGCAATGCTCACGAACCACGAAAATACAACAGCCTACCAACTCGCCACGACCACCGTAACCTCAGCGCCAAGTCCCCGACGACGTTCCCCGCACGTGCTCAACTCAACACATAGGCATGGCGGCAGGAGGAGGCGATGGCGATGGACCTTCGTGGGGCGCTCACAAATTCGTGACGACGTACAAGGACTCCACTGCGCCACTGCAAATGCCCAGTTTTCCACTGTCGCAGATATGGACGCCACCTGCCCCGCGTTGCCGTCGTCACATCCAGCACCCAATTTGAAATTTGATTTTCGAACAGGGAGGTCCATTGCTTTTTAAACCACCAGTACTTCCTCGAGTCGTGCCCGTTAACGCGCCATGACTTTAGGAAACGTAAGGGCTACTACAGGAGCGCCCAAATTCATCCGACTAGACCACCCCAAGGATAGGTGGAACGCCGGTGGGAATTTCCTTCAAAAGAATCAAAACCCCAAAGGAAACTTCCTTCGGCCACAAGGACGCCCCAAGGAGTATCTGACGAGCCCCAAGGAGTATCTAACTTCCTTCAAGTGGAGGATTCAGTCTCATTCGTCCAGAGATACTCCCCCCCCCAAAAAAGCAGCAAGGGTCCAGAGATACATTATGTGCACCTGAGGACTGACACTAGCACTTCCAGAAATGTATCTGACAGCAATCACGTCCAGAGCTTAGTAAAAAAGGTCGACTGTATGGCATACTCACACTCGGACTTTTTCTACTAAGCTCTGGACGTGATACTGGTCAGATCCGTCCAAGTCTCGGATGCCATATGTTCTGCATCAGGACGCGCCGCCAAAACCATCCGTCCTAGATGCGTGCTGGGGTCGAACAGATCTCTCTCTCTCTCTCTCAGATCTCTCTCTCCCTCTCTCTCTCTCTCTCTCTCTCTCTCACACACACACACACCAAACAAAAAAAAGGAAAACGGCACAGCGCACTTCCCTGCCTGGCATCGCATTCTGATGCACATCCCGCACGGCGCACGCACGCACATGCGCACGCGGTGTGGGTGAGCGCATCCCGCACGGCGCACCGCACCGCATCAAGCAACGCACCAGTGCCCCGCAAGTACGCGATGAACACAAGGAGAGATAAGAACATCCGATTTGACACCTAAATTTATACTTGTTTGTGGCGAGGTGCATAAAATCGCATTCAATCCGCTTTTCTGCATCGCTGCTTAAAACCCAACCAGATTTAGGCGCTGAATCCAAACTCCATTGGTAGTGGGACCTCGCCCAAGGGCCAAGACGAATAGAACCAAAGTCGCATTGTTTTTTTGTTTTCTTTCCCCCCCCCTTAGTGTCAGGTTTCCAAACAGATCCCAAACAGGGGGGGGTGAAGAAGAGGGGGGGGAGAGGGAGAACCAAAGGCAGACAGAGACGT